ATGTACGGTTCATTTGAAGCTGGCACGACCAGACGAACCGGACAGGTATTGTATATTCTCCGTGTAAGACGTAGCGAGGATTGTATAATTTTCTTACATCCTTTTTGCATTGTAATGTAGTTTGGTTTTTGCTTGCTTAAAACTGTTGCATGTTATGGTTCGTTACAGCTTTCTTTGCATGATTATAAGTTATGCTCGGCTTTGTGCATTGTTTTGTATTTTGCCCCTGCCTTCGGACGCATATCTTTGTTTGTAGCTTGTATACTTTGTCTAAGTCTTCGGCCTTGTCAAAAATGGGTCGTCTCTGGGCTTTGACATTCACTCCCGTCATTGTTATGACTTTCGAGTTCTGTCAAAGAGGGGCAACTGTAGACACCCCATTTTTGACCGTCCTCAAGACTTGGACGTCATCGTTTGAACACTCGATGATCATCCATGCTCGTGTTCGTTTTAAGTTCTCGGGGGTCTCGGTTACGCGCCTTGCCTCAAGATCTCTTAACTTATCTGTTTTGTGCTTGGTTGTGGACCAAGCACTTAGGTTTTTGCCTCTGAGGGTAGGGAATGGCTTGTTGGCCATCCCCACACCTCACCGGCCATGGCTTGAGGTCACCGGCCCTGTTTTCTTGCTATCGGCCAAAGGTGTTAGCCGGTCGGCAATGTTTTTGGTCGGCCGGCCATTGTTTTGGTCAATCGGTCACTTTTTCTGGCCGAGACCTTTTCTTGAGGAGGTTTGAACCTTTTGAACCCTTGTTTTAGCTTCTTGAGAAAGTTTGAACCTTTTGAACCCTTGGTTTTAGCTTCTTGAGGAAGCTTGAACCTTTTGAACCCTTGATTTTTGCTTCTCCAAGAAGCTTGAACCTTTTTAGCTTCTCCAAGAAGCATTGACCCTTTTGCTCTAGCTTCTCCAAGAAGCTTGACCCTTTTGTTTTGGCTTCTTAGAGAAGCTTGAACCCTTTGCTTAGCTTCTTGAGGAAGCTTGACCCCTTTGCTCTAGCTTCCTCAAGAAGCTTGGCCCTTTTACTACAAGCTTCTAAGAGAAGCTTGGCCCCTTTGCTCCAAGCTTCTTAAGAAGCTTGGACCTTCGTTCCTCTATAAAAGAAGAGCTCCTCTTCCATTGCAAGGGTTCCAAAAATTTTGCTAAGGCAAAAACCATACATGTCTCACTATTTTGAGCTCCAAAGTCCATAGTTCTTGGCCCCTTTGCACACCAACTCTTAGCCTAACACCTCTATCATCAACCTAAGGATCTTAGAAGCCATTTTCAGAGGCTAAGGAACTGGTTTTCTGGACCAAGAAGCTGCTGTCCCCTTTTGGCTACAAGGGTAACACACTTTTCCCTCTTTTGGTCTTTATTTTGCTTCATATTTTAGCCTTACTTGTAAGCATTTTTGAGCTTTGTTATAAACTAAAAAAAGTCTTATTTTGAGCTCCTTTTTAAGTTTGTTTAAGATCACTTTTGTGTTTGGGTTTGTTTACCCCTCTTAGGCCTTGTTTGGCCTCATTTTTGTGTCTTTTTTGTGAGCTTCAGGACCACCTTGTATTGGCCTTCTCACCACTAAAATCCAGAGGGATTTCAGTGGTGGGGATGGTGTTTTGAGGTCCTAAGAAGGAGAGGGGTGACCCTCTCCATTGTTGTCTTGTTTTCTAGCATTTTTGGGCTTCCAAAGGGGGTCCTATTTGCATGTTTCAAAGCCATATTTCAGGCCTTTTTTGATGAGTTTTAAGGTCTGCATAGGCTCTGTCCAGAGCCCATTTTGCCATATAAAGTGTCTATTATGCATGTGTAAAGTAATCCTCCTCAAGGCCTTTCAAAGGGGTCTTTACTTGTATGCTTCCTTGGCTCATTCCAGGCCCTTTTCAGTGAGTTTTAGGGCTGTCATAACCTCTTTCAAGAGGTGATTTTGCCATTTTGTATGTCTATCATGTATGTGTAGAACAACCCTTTGCATGGCCTTCCAAAGGAGCACTTCATTCTAACATGTATTGACTGAGTTTCAGTGGTTATTTGGGCATATTTTGGCATGGTATACTTCTGTTTTTGGCTGGTTTGGTGACCTCTCATATGCTTCATATAGTTGTAGTGCAAATCATGGTTCACTAGCTTACTTTGCATGCTTTGGTGACCCTCGATTCTAGCACTTTTTGACCATGCCATAAACTGATTTTGTGCGTATTTTGGACTATCCTAGCTCTGTTTTGGGGCCTCATGGTCGAATGTTTCTTGCTATGCATGGTTGTAGTTCAATACCCTTGCTTAGCTTCGAGTTTTAGAGCCTATTGCATGCCTATGTTGAGGTATTTCTATGTTTTGGCATTATTGTGCATCATATTTCAGAGCTTATATGTATGTCATATTCCCATGTTTTCCACTCTTTAAATGCGTTTGAGAGTTATGCATGAATACCTCATTTTTGGACCATTACATGAGCTTCATTTTGGTGCATGTCAAGCCATCATTTTAGCACATTTGGCCACTGATTTTAGACATGGTTGAGGTTTGTCCATATTAGTTTAAGTCCACCTTTTGCACGTTGCTCAAATATTGTTACATTGCTTCATGTTTGTATGCTTTGGTTGCATGATGTTTTGCATGCTCATTACTTGCATTGTTGACACATGCTTAGCCATATTGCATTTTGTTGCATTGCTTGAGCTATATGACATGTTGTTGCATGCTTAGGTTGTAATGCATTTGGCATGTATTCTCTCTTTTAGCCACTTAACATGTTGTTACATGTTTGTGTGTTGTCCATGTTGCATGTTTACATTGCTTGCCCTCATGTTCATGGTGCATACTTAGCTTGCATGCCTAGGTTGCATTGCATTTTGCATGCATGCCTTGCCTCTTGAATCACCATGATTGAGGTTGGGCCTTATGTGTTTGATTGGTGTGCATTACATTTGACATCAAAATGCCCAACTCGGCTCCTTTGGCCATCATGTATTGAAATGCGTGATTGGTGGCCCAAGGGTCGAGAACCATACTCCCTTGAGTTCATGACATGATAGGGAGGGTGGTTGTGCATACATTGCTTTGAAAATGCATTGCCATGCTCTGTTTGCCCTCTACTGTTGTCAAACAGGATTCTGCTGGAAGCGATGGCCGGTCGGCCATCTTCAGTGCCGGCCGGCTATCCATTTTTGGCCGAGAGCACAATTTTTGGTCGATGACCTGTTTCACTTGGCCGGTGGTCCTATCTCATGGCCGCTGGCCTCTCAGCATGTCTCCAAGATGTTTCAAAGGTGTCACAGAGGTTGGCACAATTTTTAAAAAAGCAGAGCAGTGTAAACAGAGGCAACTGTGGCATGGCGATGGATTTCCGAGCCAAGCCGACCAAGCATGCGTACATCCCTCTTCCCGAGGCTGTTTTACTGCTTTGGTAGACTAATTGATTTGTTAATTAGTTAAGTGGTTTTGTAATTAATTAATTAGCTCGGGAGTTAGTTAATTAGGTGATTTGTATTATTCTTTCGGACTCTCTAAGCGAGGGCAATTGTGTAATAAGTGTGTGTGTGAGTGTGTGTATGTCTTCCAACCCCACTTCTCTCTCCCTTTTACTTACTTGCTTTCAATGGTTAGTATTAAGGCACATTTAAATTAGCATACCTTATGTTATGCATGCGTGCATCCATTCATCTGTATTGCATGCACCGGACTTGGCGCATCATACTCACTGTATGGTATTTCAATTCCAAGTTGAATACATGTTATTTGTTGCATTTCATATGCCATCTTTAGGTTAGCCAAGCCTGTCCTAATTGCATTCTGTATGCGTTGCATTAGCCATTGCTAACACGAACTAGGATCATGCATTTGATTACTAACTAGTTTCTATTGTGGCTTGGAATATTAGGTAAGCTTTTATGCTTTAACATCCTCGCATGCGTGTGAGTGTCTGCCATGATAGCATGCTTACCATGAGGCTACGTGCTTATGTGTTATAAACTGCCTGAATGCCTGTGGGTGAAGGTTGGGTTATCTAAATTGGAACAATGCATTGACTGTGAGTTTTAAGCCCACTAGATAGTGGCAAAACCATCTTTTCTAAGCCCACCCGAGGGTGGCAAAATCTGCATTTTTAGCCTACTTGCGAGTAGCAAACCGCTTTAAAAAACAAACATGAAATGTTTTGTTCCAATTCAGGCGATCCAGTCTATACTTGTATGCTATACGTATCACATAGTAAATCTAGGCTAATAAACGAAATAAGAACGCATAATGTTTTCAAAACTAGATATCATGGTTAGTAGAGGCCGATCTTCTGATCGGGCGAGCAGGGGTTCTCGTAGCTGACCTTCCCTAATCGTACCCAAGTTCCCGAGCCGAGGCAACTTTGGTGATGACGGACACGTGGCCTTAGGCAAACGAGTCAGGGTTTCCTAAATTCTCCCATAAAAAATATTTAGGTGGCGACTCTGTATCTGGCAAAGCAGTCTATGTTTGGCACTTCTTTCAAAAAAAATCTGTTTTCAAAAACGATTTGCCGGATTTGGACTCTTTGGTGATTTATCAATCTCACATTGCACATTGTGAAATCAGATTAAGAATCGTGACATTTGAGTCTTGAACTGTAGTGAGCCCAAATGAACAAATCGGGATTTCCCTCCTGGGACGTTCGGGGACGTCTACACCGTGCCTTGCTTACGAACCAGCAGATAAGGTACTAGCAAGGTTACAGAACTCGCCGTTCGTTCCGGCAATTGAGAATGCACCACTACCTATAGGCTTCCACCAGTCCAAATTCACTACTTATGGGGGAAAGACAGACCCCTACATGCACTTAAGCTACTTTCGCCAGGTTATGGCAGTATACCGGCGAAAGAAGGCCCTAATGTGTATCCTGTTCCCATCCAGCCTTGGCGACCTAGGTCTAACTTGGTTCGAAAGGCTACCAGAATGCAGCATCGCCTAATGGGCACAATTAGCAGAGGCGTTCGTAACTAGATTCAGAACGAACACCAAGACACCAGTGGAGATTGATCAGCTACTCTCCATTGACATGAGAGAAAATGAGACATTAAGGTCTTACAACAGTCGGTATTGGGAGACCTTCAACCAGATTGGGGATTGCCCTACAAACCTTGCCATCGCACAATATAAACGGGGTTTACCAGTCGGCAACAAACTGAGGGACTTAATGACAATGATGCCACCCCTTACGATGGAGGCCCTAATAGAGAGGGTGCATCAACATATCCGAGTAGAGGAAGATAGTGCCCGTGCTAAAGTAAAATCTGGCACAACGACGTTGTCAAATAAAAAGACTACAGCAAAAGTCAACACGATAGAACAACCAAGTAGGAGTGGGCGAGGTAGGCGAGCCAATAGAGAGGACCCAGAAAAAAGGAAGTTAAGAGTCCGCACTACCATCACCACAGTATTCAATAAACCTATCTACCAGATTCTCAGCGAAATACGTAATGAGCCCTTCGTTCGGCGGCCTGCTAAGTTGGGAGAAGCACAAAGGGGCTATGATGAGAGATCCTGTTGCACCTTTCATGATAAGAAGGGGCACCGCACTGAGAATTGCACACCATTGAGGCAATATCTGGAAGAGTTAGTGGTTGTTGGACCCTTGGACCGGTATATAGAAGGGAAAACACAGCCGGCCCCACAGGAACCCAACAAACCAAATGGGATGCCGGTCGACGATCCACCCCAAGGCATAATCAACGTCATACATGGAGTCGTCGAACCTGAGCGGGTATGGGATCTCAGGGGGATGATCAAAAAGGCTAAGCACTTGAGAGAGGTACTAAGTGCACAACCAACCGTGAAAAAAGGCAGAACAAAAGCCACGAACGTCATATCCTTTTGAGACAGAGACTTAGCAAGGCTGTATTGCCCTCACAATGACGCACTGGTGGTCACGTCGTGCGTCAAGAATTTTGATATCAAGCAGATTCTGATTGATCAAGGAAGCTCAGGCGAGATAATGTACTACAAGACCTTCAAACAACTGAAATTGGAGAACAAAGACCTGGCACTTGCAACATCTCCCCTCGCAGGTTTCAACTCAATGCCAGAATGGCCAGTATGCAAAATAATTCTCCCGGTCAAGGCAGGAACCGTGACCAAACATGTGGAATTCTAGGTATTGAAGGTCCCATCCACCTACAACATAATCTTGGGAAGGGCATGGCTGCATGCCATGCGCTCAGTGGCGTCAACCTACCATTAGGCAATACGATTCCCTAACGAAATCGGCGTGATTGAAGAAGTCTCAGGAGACCAAATCATGTCGAAGCAATGTTTCGTCACAGTAAACGGCAGCCGTACGGCAAAAGGGTTGGTTTAGATGGTAGAAGAGCCATAAAGCAACGAATTGTTTGCAGATGTCAGCAAAACAGCAGGGCAGAAGGTAGTGGAGGACTTGGTTGAGGTAAGGATAAATGAAAGAGACCCAAAAAAATTCTTTTTGCTCGGCTCATCTTTGTCTAGCACTGAGAGAATTGAGATTATTAAATTATTAATCTCAAATAACGAAGTGTTCGCCTGGACGCCATATGACATGCCTAGCATTGACCCTAAGTTCATCTGCCACCAACTTAATGTCCATCCAAATGCCAGACCAATTATACAGCGCACTCGCAGATCAGCATTCCACCATGCGGAGATAGTGGCAGAGGAAGTGGGAAACTTGCTGGAGGTAGGAGCCATCAGAGAAGTGCACTATTCTAAGTGGATCTCTAATACCGTGCTCGTACAATCAATTCGATCAGTTTAAATGGATCAAAATATCCATTACTCAACTTACTTTAAGCAATCCTTAAGAAATATATTTATAATTTATCCAAAATAAATAATATACACTCAAAATAATTATTATAAAAAGATAGAAATATGAGACTTACACAATTTAGAGCAATACTACGTCCTTCGAATTTGATTATTTCTCGAATGGTTTAAATTTTGTTTTGCCGAACGTCGGTTAAAAAGATTGACAGTCATATAAGATGGCAATCACAATAGACAATTATTTAACCCGATCATTCAATCGATCATCTGAACGATCCATTGATGAGCACAAATTCAAACAGCTCACCTCGAGAGCACCAAGGATTTCCCACAATTTATTACCTAAATTTGTTTTACTTTTATTATATTACAGTTATTTTGCAGTTCTTTTCATTGTCTCTCTCTCTCTCTCTACTTTTTCGCAGTCATATGCAATTCGAATTGCATCAGTGAGAGGCCATTGTTGAACTAATCACATGCAGAGCATCAGCTTCAGCACAAACAAAACGCATTTGAATCCCATGTGCTATATATATATACTCTTCTCTCCATTTATTCTTCTTTCTAGGGTTCTGAAATTAAAGCTGATAATCGCAGAGTCTTGGGTACTAACCCAATGAGTCAATTCGCTTTTCCTTATTCCTTCAATGGTGTCTTGGCAATTTCAGATTGGTTCACATAGAAGGAATATATAAAGAGATTCTGATCTGATGTCTGATTGATTGGTTTTTTTTTGTTGCTCTTCTTCCTCTTCTGTTCAACGGTCTTATTGGAGCCCGTGACTCTACCCCCTACTCTTCTTCCAAGATTTCTAGAGAGAGAAAGTGCTATTTTTAGAGGAGAGAGAAAGTGAGAGAGAGAGAGTGAGAGAGTGATATTTACATATATATATATATATATGTATGTATATTATATATATAGGGGATTGTAGAGAGAGAAATGTTGGCTCTGGTTGGGGGTGAAGGAGGAGGAGGAGCTAATATGGAGAACGATTTCGATTCGAAGCTGAGGATTCAGAACAATTCATCAAATTGTGGAAACGTACAGAGATCTAAGAGCTTTGCATTTAGGGCACCTCAAGAGAATTTCACCATCCAAGACTTCGAATTGGGCAAGATCTACGGCGTTGGTTCTTATTCCAAGGTCTGAATTTTCTGTACCTTTTGAATTTTTTGTGTCTTTTTAAGTCTTTGATTGGGTTAACCTTTGTTTTTTTCATTTGGTTAATTTGATTTATGAGGATTGTAGTTAATGGGTTTTGAGATTGAATGTCATGTTTCATGGGATTTTGGATCGTCTAATTTGGTTTTCTTGTGAATCTGTTTTGGGATTTGGCGTTTAATTAAATCAGATATCTATATTTTGTTTCCTTTTCCTAATAGATCAGTGGATTATATTTCTTTGATGATGAAGCCAATTGAAGGTGTTCTTATGTTGTTCTTGCTTAACGGATATTTATCTACAGTGGGTTGAAAAGTTATGCAGTAAATTTAGGTGATGCATATCTCAAAGTTTACCAAAACTCAAATAATCTTAAACTACTAGGATATTGGTGTTATGTTTGGAGGATTTTTTGGTGGGAAATGGTTCTGGGTAATCTATAATGGGATGAGAATGTAAAGAATTTTGGAATTTCCTGAAAACAGTTATGGAGCTTTTACATAGAATATGAGAAAAAGTTGATGTAACAAGTATTAATAAAAATATGAACTTGAATTAGCTACCATTCTTTGAGAGATGCTTACATGGAGTTTTTTTTAGTACATGGAAATCTGTTGATATTTTACATATTTAAAGTGGTCAGTTTGCTGATGTGAGAGCTTCAGATTTGGGCTGTGGTTAGAGTTCTGATCAAATTTAGAAATGAGAAGTGATGTGAGAAATGCTCTTAAATAATGTTATTTGTTGCCACCAAATCCTTTTATTCAAATTATTCTGGTTTTGGCAAGTGTACATTTAGGTTTACTTGTTTTTGAACATGCTATCTTATTTGGGGTGGCATAAATTTAATTGCAATTTATGGGGTATCAGTTTGTGTTAGAATTCGTTGGTTGTTTTGTTGTTCTCTATAATATGTTTGGGTGGTTGAATCATTTGCATCCTAGAGTTAATTGCTTTCCTCCTCTTGTACACTTTTCAGTAGTTCATCGTTAACTTCTGTTATTGACATTCACTTACCTTCCAATCAATGACATATCAGGTTGTGAGAGCAAGGAAGAAAGACACTGGAATGATTTATGCCTTGAAAATCATGGATAAAAAATTCATTACCAAAGAAAACAAAACCGCTTATGTGAAATTGGAGCGAATTGTAATAGATCAGCTGGATCATCCTGGCATTGTGCGGCTCTTTTTTACATTTCAAGATAATTTTTCCCTATGTAGGTATTTTTGACCGAAGTGTAGTTAGAATTTCATTGATCCATATTCATGCAGAAACCAGTGTTTTTTTCTTTATTATGTTTCGATTTTTATGCACAATTGAGTTTGTCATTTGACATGGTGCCTTTAATTATATTGTGAAGACATGGCACTCGAGTCGTGTGAAGGTGGAGAACTTTTTGATCAAATAACCAGGGTAAGTAAATTTCAAAATATTGGGATATGTCTTTTTGGTTTTTTAGTTTTTAGTCTACCAAGTGTTTAAATCATCATAACTTCTTGACAGTTTTCTATAGTAACAGTTTTCGTGGAGTGTAATCTGATTTTGTCTAAATCAAATACTGATTATGGTGTACATTACATATGTATCCTGAATCAATCACAATCCCAAGGAAATCAATTTGCCTGTATTCTTTTAATTTTAGAAGTAAAAGTGAGATCCAAGCAAAAGCAGATTCCAGCTCCGCATCATTGTGTGTTGAGTGTTGCCTGAATTTCAAATTTTTATTTTGCTTCTATAATGTGTTGAGTGTTGCTTACCTAGTTTCTCATTTTATGATGTGATGGACAATATCTACTAAATTTGAGTGCTTGCAGAAAAGCCGTTTGCCAGAGGATGAAGCTCGGTTCTATGCAGCTGAAGTTGTGGATGCTCTCGAGTACATACATAGTATGGGATTGATACATCGAGATATTAAGGTAATTTACTCCTTGGATGCACTGCTTTATTGACAATATTGGATATGCTAATAGAGATCTTGAATGGCAGCCAGAGAACCTGCTACTTTCCGCAGAAGGACATATTAAAATTGCCGACTTTGGTAGCGTGAAGCCTATGCAGGATAGTCGGATTACAGTCCTTCCTAATGCAGCGTCAGGTGAATTTATCATATTGTAGTGAAGGATATACCAATTTTGTGATAAAGTATTACCGTTCTCATTTTTATCCCTTTCCAGATGATAAAGCTTGCACCTTTGTTGGAACAGCTGCTTATGTTCCCCCAGAAGTTCTAAACTCTTCTCCAGCAACTTTTGGGTGAGAGACTATTTTTGAAGGACCCTGATATCTATTTATGTATTCTTATAGAGTACACTGCAATAATAGAAAGAACCAGATGGTTTCATTGAGTGGGTCCAGTGTTGTGACTGGAATTTATCTAAGCTCATTTTTTACTCAAAAATTGTTATTATATTTTGGATTCTAGTTGGCTCTCATTGTTTCATTCTGTTTTAGTTTTGGAAATATTCGTGTGTTATCTTTGCTGGGTGACTTATTTTCCTCTTTTGAATGCATTTATACAGAAATGACCTCTGGGCACTTGGCTGCACCTTGTACCAGATGCTTTCAGGAACTTCCCCCTTTAAAGATGCAAGTGAATGGCTCATTTTCCAAAGAATTATTGCCAGAGATATCAGATTTCCAAATTATTTTTCAGAACAAGCTAGAGATCTCATTGACCGGTTGTTGGTAATCTATAACTCATCCATAGCTTCTCTTTCAGTTTAAGCATGCAATGCTTGTACTTTTGAACTTCAGCTCTGCCCTCCCGCGGTGCCGTTTCTCATTCTTTTGATTTGTTCTTTTAGCATTTACTATTGAGTTGTTTGGTTTTATGGTTTGGCTGCCTGAAGAGGGAAGGTAAGGAGAGGAGAGAAAGGTCACACAGCCCACTGGGGGTGCTGCAAAGAGGCATCTGTTTGGTAGTGGGCCATATAATGTAGTTTGTTTTGTTTAGCTAGCTTTTTATTGTATAATTCACGTCACATCTAATCCTGTTAAGGCGCACTGGCACCTATTTGTGTTCATCTTAGCTGTCAAAATAAAAAGAAATGACGTCATTCAAAATCTTCTAATAGTGTAAACACACTACGAATAAATACATTGAAGTTTTTGAGGTTGTGTTTCATGTGAACTTTACAATTCAAGATCTGAGCCCTTCTAGGATTTAGCATAGGAGGCCCAACCTAGAGGTACTTTTCTTTTGAATCTTTGGATTTTTAGTGAATTTGACCCGGTAATTACATGTAATGATCATATTCATTTGCTTTTTCAGTTGTGGATGATGCAAATGCTCCTACCATTTACTTTACTGTACGTAATCGTGCCTTCCACTAACTGTGCAACCATGACACAGGATATTGATCCCAGCCGAAGACCAGGTGCTGGGCGTGATGGTTATGCTGCACTCAAGTCGCATCCTTTCTTTAGGGGAATTGATTGGAAGAATTTAAGGGTGCAAACCCCGCCAAAACTTGCCCTAGAGCAAAAGGTACGCTTTCATGCCTTTTCTTTTTGTTTTGATTTTGATTATGTTATCTAGTTATCTATTTATTTATTTATTTATTTTTACAAAGCAATCCAACTGTTCATGCCAGTTTTGTGGTTTCTGGTACTATGTTTTCTACAGTTATTTTAATGTGCGGTCTCAATTCTTTTAGGCTTATTCAAGTGACAGTGATGATGTTCAGGATTCATCTTGGGACCCTTCACACGTTGGGGATGGCTCAGCTAAACAAAATGATGCATCATCTTCTGAAGCTGGTCATATAACTAGGCTTGCTTCAATTGACTCCTTCGATTCAAAATGGTAGTTATCGAGCATCTTTTTACATCTGTGATTGGCATCAACATCCTAATCATTCAAAACCATCATTGAGATTTTATTGTCTAAGCTTAGAACTTTATTGGATGATCAAATTTCAGAATCGTTGATATGATAATATGAATATTGTTGTTGGTTGTCATTATTGTGCTTTGACATAGAACATCGAAACTAAAACATGGTCAGTTGGAATTGGTTATACAATAGCTAGTACATCCTGCATGTTTGGATAAGTTAGGAAGGGCTATTTATCACATTTTCCCCTCTAAAGAAGTATTGGTATTGAATAAAAAGTTACAGTAGAAGGGGATATGCCATCGTCTATCATTCTAGTAAATGCTAAAAACACCCTTTCACCTGCTTCTTAATAATATATATATATATATATATATTTTTCAATTCATTTAAACTATATCTGCCTCATAAGCTGTGAGGAGAAGCTGCACAAAAGCAAATAGTCTGGCATAGATTTCTAAAAAAAAAAAAGAAGATATAAGCAGCCCCATAAGCTACACCAAACAGGGCCTAGATTGTTTGCAGGCACACCCATATTGGTACATTTACTGGTTTCTCCCTATTATCAAATTGGCTTACCCCCTTTTTTTTTTCCTGAAAAACTCACAGGCAACAGTTTTTAGAACCAGGTGAATCTGTTCTTATGATCTCAATGGTCAAGAAGATTCAGAAACTGACAAACAAGAAAGTGCAGCTTATCCTCACAAACAAGCCAAAGTTGATTTATGTGGATCCTTCAAAGTTGGTGGTCAAAGGGAATATAATCTGGTCTGACAACCCTAATGACCTTAACATTCAAGTCATGAGCCCTTCGAATTTCAAGATTTGCACTGTAAGTTCACTTCCCTGTCCTTGGGGCACATATTCACTCTGCTCAATTGTGCTTTATAATGACTACAGTCAATTATCATGGCATGTGAAGTTTGCGTACTTCTGTATTGTTTAGGCAAATACTTAAATGTAGAAATGATTTGATTCTAAAAAGTTCAGTCATTATGTGATTTTTTTCTCTATATATATATTGTGTAATGACTAATAGGATGGATAGAAAATGTGCCATGTGCCCTGATATTCATTGCATTTATTTTGCCCCATTATTGAACTTGTTTGACTATTTTTTGTGGTACAGCCGAAGAAGGTTCTAACGTTTGAGGACACAAAGCAGAGAGCCTTGCAATGGAAAAAGGCAATTGAGGCCCTCCAAAAAGGGTAAATTTTGTTTGTGGTTTTGACAACACATTCTTTTTGATGTAACAATATTGTAGAGGAACGTGGGGATCCCAAAACAGTCGGATGATCCCAAGCGATTTTATTTTTTATAAAAATTTATTTAAAGAAAATTATTCAAGTTGCAGAACCAGCCTTTTCAAGGTGCAAACCTTCCCACCTCCAATTTACAATTCAAACTGGTTTGTGACAAGGGTTGTGTAGGACACTCGGGTTTTCTGGTCTTTTCTGCACCCCTCGTGATGAGAAATTCTCGTTGTAAGGTTCGCCAAGAATGTGTTCGTTACTGGTTTTCTGTAACTACAAAAATAGAAGCCACGTGGAAATGAAATCTTCATTTTTGTTGGATGCCTTTGGTTTAGTGTTGTGAATTGTGATGGTGCTCATGCCTTTGGGTAAATTACATTGACTTCCCTGAAGTAAGGAACATTAGTCTCACTGGTTTGATGAAATTACATCGATTTCCCCTAAAATAAGGACAATTTTGACTTGTCAACATTAATGGAGCTGATTACTATATTACTCTCAGATATTTCGTATTTAAACATGTATGGTGTTAATTGACACAATCACACTTCTCGTACCTAATAATAATTACTAGTTTTCTCATTTAAATGAGGAATATGAATGTTTGTTTGGATGCGTAAGGATAATGTTTGGATGTATTATGAATGATGACATCAGTATTTTTCATTTGTTGACTAACAATGATTATTGGTATGAGCCATTGTGTTATGAAATTTATATTTTAAAAAAATACGATATAATATAATTATATCAAAATTATAAAGTTTATTGTGATCTATTCATTACTTGGCAGAAATGTTATGGCGGATTCATTCTTCTATCCATGTGGGAATCATATTATCTATTGCAGTGTTATTTTATTGTTATTGGTTTTAAACCAAACGGCATCGTTAAAAATTCAGCCGAAAGAAAGAATCTGAAGGCAAATTATTAAAAAAAAAAATGAAGTAAACTTTTACACTCAAGAAACAACTAAAGAATCATTATGCATTTCTCCGCAATGAAGAAAAAAAAAAAAAAAAAAGAAAAAGAAAAAGGAGAGAGTGAAAAAAAGAAAAACGAAGAGCAGATCTAGGGTTTTACTTTTTCGTTTATTATTTCTTGAAAGAAAAATATTAAGAATCACAAATATTTTATTAATATTTTTATCAAATGTCTCATATGAATGTAAGATCTATATCAGGCGAGTTTTACACTCATGTAAAACATGTATTAAAAATATTAATAAAATATTTACAATTTCTAACATTACTTTCCTTGAAAACTTTAAGTATGGATAATGATACATAAGACACAAGCAGTGGGTCTTATCCACTGCCACATCACTAGTAGTGCTTTTAGAGCACTACTTTTAGTGATCTCAAGCATTAAGTATTGCATGGGTTTATATATTTACACAAACAAAAAGGAAAAAGAAAAAATTCCAAATGTTTATGTTATTTTAAAATTGATTGGTTGGAAATTGGTAGGGCCTTGAAAAAAAATGAGCCTTTAAATTTTGTCCTTCCTTTTTGGGTGTATAAAATTTGTCCGAATTTGGGAATGCTTTTGCGCGGGGTGCACAGCAGCATCTCTTGTGCGGCGAAATGAGCCCATTTCAAGGCCCATCTTGATAATATGAGCCGTTCACATTTTAGAATACAACAAGTAGAACATGCCTGTAAAAAATCAAATAAATCGGATATCGTTTACCTATTCATCCACTCACATTTGTATTTATTTTAATACTTTAAATCACAATTATTATTTATTCCTTCCCCTTTAGTTTTACTCTATCATTCTAGGTGCTAACATTCAAATCACTCGTCATTTTATTTTCTTTATTTTCTCTTTTATTCGTTGTGCTAAGTCATACAATAATTCCCCTAATCAACCTATCTCCATTCACAAGATATTAAGATTTGTGACAGAAAAAGAAAAGGGAAAGTGAATAAAATAGAAGTCAATTTTTTTGGTGACATTTATTAATAAATTTTTCTTTACTACTTATATTTTATTTAATTTAAATTAATTTTTTATATTTCAATAAGTCTTATTGGTGACATAATTACTAAAATACCCCAAATAATAATAGGGTGAAACGTACATTAATGTTTACATTGACAGAGTGAATGTTCCATGATGTGAACATTCACACTGTCAAATTTATTTAATGTGAATGTTCACATCACTAAGTTGCTGAGAGTTCAAAAAATAGTTATAAGGGTAAAATTGTCTATAAAATACTTTAAATATGAGAATTAGAATTTGATGGATTAAATATCTAAAATAATAATATCTTATGGATTAATTGGAATATAAGTATTGAAAGAAATTTTCTAATAAATTACTCATTTTTTTTAGAGTTTCACAAATTACTTCCTTCTTTTTTTATTTATTTATAATCTTTCATAATTTGTTTTACAAATTCAAGAACCAAACATACTTTAAAGTGAAATACGTAGGTTATGTTTTTTTTATATTTGAAATTATATTTGCCAACACATGAATCAGTATTCTTAGTTGTCGTTTGGTAATAGGGTTTTTTAATTGGCTTTTTGATTTTTTAACTATTTTAGTTTGGGATTAAAAGTTCGTGTAGATTGGTTTTTTTTTTTTTTTTTATTTTTGTGAAAGAAAAAGTGAAATACTTATGGTTTAGATGTAACATTTTATCTTATCAACTTTTTAACATATTTTATCTTTTTGTGACTATTTAGCCAAAAAAACTCATCGCCAAACAAAAGACGACCTCGTTTGACGGGATATTTTAGAAAGATGGTTAAAAGTTACTTTTTAACTTTTTTTGACTTTTTTGTGAGAGAGGAAAGTAGGTTAAAATGTAAGAAGTGACTCTTAATTCACTTTCCAAAATAGGCTTACATATTTTAGTCAAAAAGTCAGAAAAGTCATTATAAGTTATCACACTATTTTTTATATTTTTACACATCTTTTTATAAAAAATTAAAAAATTATTAAAATAATATATTTCTAAATGAGGGCTTTCAATTTAAAATTCGGTCACAATTATTTTGTTTTCTATTTCGATACAGATGTTTTCAATCAGACAAAACTGGTACCATTGAACAATAACAAAAGCATACCAACCTTTAACAATGGAACACAACACAATTATCTATTTATACCTTCTATTTGAGATTTTTTTTTTCCCTCCAATTTTATTCATGTTTAAAATTATTTTTAACGACAAAAAATAAAAATTAAATTGATTTAATTGTCTCATTACACCCATTATATTTCAATCCCTACTTTTCTTCCTTTTTTATTTCTTTTTCTCTACTATACATCTAATTTCAAAAAATGAGAATTACAATGTTTTGATGAAAAAATAAAGCAATTGACAAATAAATGGTGATGAAGGACCAGCAAAAAAGTAAAATAATGCATTTTCTTGTTTTTTATGCTTTGTTTCGTTTTTGAATAGGGTTATTCGACTTTTGTTCGGTGTATCAGAACCGAACAAAATCAAATAGAGATCTTATCAATGTCCATGAATGATAAATCAAAGATTGAACCGGCAAATTTGAAACATTGGGTGCTATCATATAGCCTTGTATAACTCTATGAGACCTAATCTCCTGTTGTTCCTCAGTAGCTCAGTGGTAGAACAATCGACTGTCAACTGATTGATCATAGGTTAAAAAATACATATTCGGTAACCCATTGCCGAGCCAAAAATACATGTCCAATAACTCACTGCTAAACATTTTCAGTTTTATTTTTCTAATATTTTTGTTTTTTCTGCTTTGAAGGATTATGCTTCTTTTCATTGTAGTAAGTCTAGTAGTGCATTGTTCATGGACTACATTCATGAATTCATTACAGACGAAGTTTGTTAGATTTATCTGCTTCCTAGTCATCCAGTACCTTCGAAAGTAAGTAATCAGATTCGTTTTCATCACCCCGCGTGCTAATGGATGGAAGAAAAAATCTACTACTTTTATTGATCAATTATGTATGCTTGTCAGCCTTGATGTAGTAACTACTGAAATTATCAACTTAGATAGATTGTGATGACATTTCAGTGTGTTTTTATATATATTTGTATTAACAAATTTGAAGATATTTATTTGACAAATTTTATAAATGTTTTTATGAATGTTTGTACATAGAGTGTTTTTATGGATGCTTGATGTTTTAAGGAAAGTGAATTTGTAAACGTGCTGCAATAGATGGCTGAACAAATCTAGTTTGTTTGGAAATATGACATTGGAATAATTCAAATTGTTTGACAATGTATAACCCAACATGCCCATCACAAATTTAGAAAAAAAAAAAAAATCGATGTTTTAAAGAGAGTGAATTTGTAAACATGCGACGATCGGATAAATATATAGTTTATTTGGTAATATAATATCGAAGTGATTCAAAAAGAATAGGTATAATGAGAAAAAATTGTAGGAGTTTTTAAAAGGATTTAATTTAGGGTTAATTTTGATATTATAAAGAGTATAATGAGAATTTCAATTATTTCTTAAGAGTGTTGCTATTAGCACCTGTCAAAATTCTTTGGACCCCAACCCTAAACCCTAAATTTTAATAATATTTTTTCAGACACCTTACTTATTATCAAATCTACCCATATTCATAATATTTTCACAATCAAATGCACACCCGCCCAATTTTTCATACCTCTCATTCCCTGACCATCCATCTACCGTATTCATCTTCTCCACACCGATTGAATCCATTCAAAGTGCTACTGAAGTGCTTGGGACATTGCTTTTTTTCTTTTTTATTACAAGTACTGCTACAATTCGTTGGAAATTCAACACCTTTGGATCATAACCACACAAAGGTACAATTTACTTCTTTTTTCTTACAAGTACTGTAGACTTTTTCATCTACCATTAAAGGTATAATTTACTTCTCTTTTCTCTTCAATTAATCATAACCACACAAACAAAAACTCTTTACCAACCAAATCCACAACCACACAAAACCCTAATTATGGGAGGATATTATAATGTAATGGATGGCCTGCTTCTACATAAAATTCAATTTTTTTTGAGAATAAAGATCTAAATATTATAATCTAATGGATGGCTTGAATATTATAATGTAATAGAAGTTTACATACTAACTAGAAATAAAATATATAAAAAAAAATGGCTTGGTTCCATTTTTCCAAAAACACTTTTCAGAAAATTCTACTTTCTTATTTTTCGTATTTTTTTATTGATTTTTTTTA